TTCGCCTGTGCAGCAGCACAACATGCACCCGTCTGGACCCACCAATACTTTTTCCCGCCCTGACCCACCAGCACTTTTTCCGGCATTGACCCACCTGCACTTTTTCCCGCCTTGACCAGCCATCAACTGAGAAGTTAGGAAGAGGGAGAGAGGAGGTTAGTTAGCCAGGCAAGAGGAGGTTAGTTAGCCAGGCAGGAGGAGGTTAGCCAGGCAGGAGGAGGGAGGGGCCAAACAAATAAACGAGAGACCAAGAAAGCTGGGGGACCAAGAAAGCTGACGAAGTTAGCCTTCCAATCAGGAGAGCGAAAAAACGATGCGCGGCGGGGGGAGCTGCCCAGGACAGGGACAGCAGCACATACTTTTAGGTTAGCGGACGAGGAGTTGAGGCAGTGGGGAGTCAAGCACACAAGGTTTGATAAACATGCGGAGTTGATGTAAGCATATACAGTGTCGTATCGCACACATAGGCCGTATCGCCTTACCTTAGCCAGTAGTCTTACCTTAGCCGATATCCTTGCCTTAGCCAGTAGTCTTACCTTAGCCGATAGCCTTGCCGGTGACCTTGCCTTGCCTTGTAATTGCTGTCTCGCCCTCCCTCTCCCTCTCCCTCCCCTCCCCCTCCCCTCTCCTCCTCCCCATCCATGTCCCTACCTCACCAGTCAGTCCCATTGTTTTGGTGCTTACTTGGTATGCCAGTGAGAATGTTATATGTAAGTACGAGAAGGTTTCCGATGGACTGAGGGAACACTCTATCGAGGACGATTGCGACCGGGTGTATTGTATATGTCTTGGGGAAGCCTGCTGCGATAATGAGGGTGAAGATGGAGGTGACGACCGCAGAGAGCATGATGGCCCACCAGCAAGTGTTGGTAAGGTTGACCTCTTTCCGTACTTCATTAGAGATTGAAGGAATGATTTCAGTCAAGGTGAAAACTTTGGCAAGGACCGTTAGAACGGAGACCCAGCCTCCATCGACTCCGTAGAGGCGCGGTAAGGCCGGGTCCTGCTCAAACAGCATCGTGTATCCGTTGAGAATAACCTCAGACACCTGCAGTGCTTCCAATGTCTTGAGCTTCGCCGCGCCCGGGCACTGCAGCAAGTCGCTCTCCCACACAGTATCGAAACATAGGTCACTGAAACAACGGCCGCATATCCCAGCGTAATGCGGATCCAAAAGAGCTACCGGGAACTCTCGAAATGATCCCAACACACTGCCGGTCCCGGGCTTAACGGGCGACACGTCCCCAAACTGAGAGGGCAACCCCGGTACTAACTCGAAACCTTCGGCCGATCCTAGACCGCTGGCCGATCCCAGACCGCTGGCCGATACTAGACCGCCGGCCGGCCCTGATCCCAGCTCATGGTACAAAGACACTATCTTGCTAACATCCAGGTCCACCCAATTATTTACTCCAGGCACCTCGCTTATCACATGCGTCAGCGAGTTGCACAGAGACAGCTGGTTCTCATGAGACATCTTTACAGCGACTTGTGTTGTAAGAAAGGTCTGGAAAATCCTTCGCAGTCGGGTCGAACTCGATCTCCACGCCAATGCGCGCCAAGATAAATACTTCCACGGCTTAAATACTAATAAATATCGCGATAGTGACTGATCATCCTTCATTTTCGCAAAGGTATTCGTCAAGGAATCAGTAAACGGATTTGCAAACGTGTTTGCAAACGTGTTTGCAAACGTGTTTGTTAGCGCATTTTTAATGCGCGCCCACGAGTTTGGTTGGAGAAATACGTCTTGTAGCCGCTTGAAGACCGTTACGAGCGTGGCATAGCTGGAAACAACTTTGAATAAGCTTATGATGAAAACTAGAGGCCAAATGGTAGCGGATACTGAGAATGCAGCGACGCTGATCCATTGATTCTCTTCCAAGTTGTACTGTGATAAGAAAACAATAAAGCTCAATAAGAAGACGTAGGATGGCGATATATTGTATCCCAATGTGTCAAATTTTTCTCCTGGGAGGTAGGAAAGCATTTCGCTGACGTAGTTTGGTAGTCGTATTCTGTCCCAAATGGAAAGACTGTCTGACATTTTCATGTAATTGATGATCCCGTCGGAGTAGGTGTCTTGAGGGTCGTAAGTATTATATTGAAATAGTCCTCCCGTGGTAGTAGTGGACCGCCACCAGGAGGACCGCCACCAGGAGGACCGCCACCAAGAGGACCATATAAAGTTGATGATAACTCGACGGCCGAAAAGAGGTACAAAGAGGAGAGCATCGACGGTGTCAGTGACGGCCTTAAGATCGAGGGTGGAGTATAGTAGCACGTAAATGAAGCAAAACCTGACCAAGATCTTCTGTACAGGTGAAAGAAAGAAGTCGACGACGTTCATATATTCGTAACGATGGCTTAAATCCTGATTCCCGGGGATCAACGCCATCGACTTGGTCATCAACAGCACAGATACGGCGGACACACACACGACGAAGCACAAAGATACAATCATCGGAATAAATCCAATAGACTGCCAACACGCAGGAATGCTCTCAACACCATCCGCAATAATCTTATTAACCACAATCAAAATCAACACACCATAACCTATTGTTCGTGCCCCACCTGTCTTATTAATCACTCCGTTAGTGTGCGAACCCCTTAAAACCTCATACTGCTCCAGCTTGGATAGCTCCAACGCTCGCAAATACTCATCTTCTTTCAGTCGCCGGTTCCACTTGGTTACCAATCCATTAATCATGGAGCTAAAATTATTACCCCCTAGATCTACCCACCCCCAGAGATCTACCCGCCCTATGACGCGCACCCACACTATGATGCACACCCACCCTATGATGCGCATCAGCCGATGTCTGCATGGCGGTCCTTTATTTATGGGTCCTCTAGTCATGATGTTAATGCTACCATTACGGGCCGAGTATGTTGGACTTACAGCGCGAGGATCCTTGGTTACAAACAATCTTATTATCACTTCGAATCCGAGCTCTGAAGCCGACAACGGCTCTAACTTGCCCTCTTTACGCTTTGGCTTAGAACCGTTGTGCAGCGTCATTGAGGGTGACCTGGCAGGGACGTCCTTGTCCATTAAGACGGGAAAAGGTCAGTCACTAGCGTCCTTTAAGGTGGAGGACGACAAGACTTTGCTGGAACTTGGTAACCTAAAAGTTAATGGTCATTTAGACATAAGTGACGGCAGCTTTATTATAAACGGAAAGAACCAATGGCGCTTGGCCGTCCACGAAGTCTTCACTCTCAATATGGCCCCCGAAGGGTGGGACGTGTCAAATCCCGAGATCGTTACGGATTGTGCCGGGGTCATAATGCTTGGAGGCTATAAGAAATTCAGCCAAGGCGAAATATCCAAAATCTACACCAACCTACCTCCTCACGAATATATACGCGTTGTTGCCAACTACCACTTTCTCGACAACTGGACCGGCGATACAGGATTCCTTCGAATCAATGCTGGCAAGGATGGGAGCCTTGTACATGTTTGGACCGACTCTCACACGGCTGCCGCTAAGGGCATCAATGTTTGCGGCAATCCGAACGTTCCGGAGTCCAAGTTCTCCGTGCCAATTGATATCACGATACCACACAGCAGTTCAAAAATCAAACTCGGATTCGGATCCACAATGAAAACAAGTACGTCACACACGTACGTCACGTACGTACGTCACACACGTACGTCACGTACGTAGCACACCGCAAAGGTATACGACCGGTAAAGGTATACGACCGGTAAAGGTATACGGCCCGTAAAGTTATACGGCTTTGCTCTTTTAGACATTCCGGATGAAGCATCATGGGGCATTTCTCTGGTTGAGTTGTATATAAAATAGGGGCTATTTCATTGATACCACGCCACGAAAGAGACGGGGATGGGTGCCTTGTATGCGGTATGCTACCTGATATAGTAAACTTGATCCGTGTGTGATTGCATGACTTGTCCTTCAAAATCGAGTTTGATTCGGACATTAATGGTTCTTGGATTGGGTGTTCCCTTCTTAACGGCTATGATGCCGGTGAGTTGTTCCTGTATTTTGCAGGGGAGAGAGTTACGAACGTAGAATACAGTTTGTTTCCAGTGTGTGTACTGAGCCTGAGGTGCCGTGGAGAAGGTGACTGGCTTGTGCAGGCCGTTATCAAAGCTGCAATCAAACCATGCAACTAGAGCGTGTACGTAGTCTTGTTTGTTGCAATTTAGTTGGAATCGTGCGATGAAGTCGAGGTCTTTTTTCTGGACAGTCTTTAGGTCAAAGTTGGCGATACAGCATGCGTCTGTGACAACGTTATCAGCATTCACGGTATCAATTAGCGGCTCTTGGAGCACACGTTCTTGCACGGCGGAATAGTCGAGGCCATAGACGTTATTCCAGAACTCGAACTTTTCACTCCGGAAATCACCGTCTTCTAGGCCCGCAATGAACATGCGTGCCTTGTCGGGGAGCATTAGACCGTCACGCTTTAGAAACTTGTCACGACAATCCAACACGCAATCCAGCATCGATTCGTACAACAAAAAGTAGCCCATCCACTCCGACACGATAATGTCCACACTACCCGGCTCCAGCTGTAAATCCTCCGCCTTCATTTGCAACACTGTCACTCGCTCCTCCAACCCGTTGGCCTTCACCAATCGTCGAGCCAACTCCGCCACGTCACTATACTCCACTGCATACACGTGCTTCGCACCCGCCTTCGCCGCAAACATCGACAAAACGCCCGTACCCGCACCTACGTCCAATACCACCTTGTCCTTAAATACATGACTGTTATTCGTAATCGCATTGTAGTAACTACTCGTCCTTACACGGTCCTTCAGCATCTCCTCATGGATCGCCAAGTGACTGTACGAATTGAAATAGTAATCCAAATCGCGCCCACCATCACTCTCCCAAGGTTCCTCCATCACTCGCCGCAACTCACTACGGTCACCATCAGCCACTGCGCGAGCCTCCGTCACGTAACCACCCACCACATGCACTGGCCTCCCCGACATTTATTTTATTTTTACTCCCTCAAACCGGCTACCCACCGGCCCGACTACGCACCGGCCCAAGCAACCGATCCGACTACCCACTGACCCATCCAAAGAATTCGCACCCACGGTCCAGCCATGGCGGTACGGCCATGGAGGGCGAGAGCTAACTCTCTGTCGCGTGTGGTCTCCCGTTCCTGGTCCAAATCCGATCCGATCCGATCCCGTTCAAAACGCTTCCAGTCAGGTACTTTCCTTCGGGCGAAAACGCCCGTGCCAGTGAGGCGCGACTGCCCCAGCAGGGACCGAGAAGCTCCCAGAGCCTGCTCCCTCTTGCTGTTAACAACTTGGAATTTTACTTCATGAAGTCAACTCCTTTTTGGGACGAAAAGCCCATATCCAGCCATGTCATGACCTCCACTCAGGTTTTAGTGCTGGGCTCAGTCCTGGCAGTGGTGTCCTTGCTCACCGAAGATCTCATTTGCTGGTGAGCCGACACTTCACCCTATCTCTTATTGTACCCCTACCCGACCCATTGTATCTCACGGTCGTGTATAAATATGCCTCGCTCGGTAGGATGTCTCTGGGATTTTCGATCGGCGTGTTTCTTGTTTGGCTCGCCGCGTGGCCCCTTGGTCTTTTAAGTCATCTGGATCGCACCATATTCAATAGGATGTACAAGAGAATGATGCACAAGCATCCGGTATGATGATGATCCAGGCGATGAAGCACGCGCGTGTGTTTGTCACTTATTCACCACCGTCCGTGTTGGTGAGCCCGCGTGTTTTGTCAGCACGCGTCGTTGGTGAGGCACGGACGTGGGTTATGTGCGAAAGCTCTGGGGCATTTGCGACAGCAAAATCTGGTGCGTTGACAAAATCTGTTTTTTCGAGATAGTAATGAGGGAGGCAATGTGGCTGTCGGCGGTCCTGGGTGCGCTTGTGGGAGGCTATGAAGTGATAACCGTGCAGCCGTCATTAGAGTTTGGTCAAGTGCTGGATTGTGAAGATCCCTACTCAATCTTGCGGCGACAGTTGAATTTGTCGGAGAGACTGAATGTGGGCGAGAGTATCCGTAGTGTCCTGCTCCGAAAAGCTCTACACAAAGT